AGGATAAGATTCCTCATAGCCACATTTTCTGACCATAATACAATAAAGCAGGAATTCAAGTGTCTATAAGTATTTTAGCATGTGGTTTTAGCATACATTTCTAGAGCTTATTTTTGTCTCCCAGGAACAGTATATATAACACTATACATCCATGTGTGCAGGAACTGCCTTGTTCTGGTTAATGGATTCACAACCAATTTTAGTGTTAACTTACTAAAGGCACTGTAATAGATCTCACCATAACTTCCTTTTACATATCTATTCTGCCATCCAAGAGTATCATAAAACATCCAATAATTGTTCCTGTCAGATATTGGAAACCTGTTTCTATGCTGTCTGACCCTACCACTAAATCACCTTTTCTTTATTCTTTAATCTGCCTCCACCAGACCAGCATAGTATAAGAGAAGTTTCTTTGGTAATGAAAATACCCATATATTAGTGATTTGCAAACCATAGCCCACGGGCTAAATTCAGCTTGTTAGTTGCTTTTGTTCCACCCATGAGTGAAAATGGGTTTTACATTTTTATGAGTGAAGAACAATTAAGAGAATAGTATGTCATGATATGTGACATTTTATAAAACTCAGATTTTATTGTCCATAATAATTTTATTGGGACATAGCCACACTTGCTTGTTTAACATTGTCTGGCTGATTGTGCATGTTGTTGGCAGAGTTGCATGGAGATTATGTGGCCTGCCCAGCCAACACTTGTCCTATATCTATGCTGTCCATTAGGATAGCTATAGATATCCCTGTCTTTTCAGCATTTAAAGTAGTGTCTGAAATGGAATTTTATTTCATTTAATTCACCTGAATTTATGTAGCCACATATAGCTATTGGGTGCCATGATGGACAGACACACTATCTTATGCCAAATCATCCTTTCTTCTTTCTTGCACTTAACTTTGTTCCTGCTGATGTCTTCCTGGTGTCTGTTTAATCAGCTGTGCAGCTGTGTGAGAACTCACTATGAAAACCATTCCGTTGCCCCATATGTGCAGCTCCCTGGTCTCCCGTTAGGTTCTCCAGCTCTCCAGCCTTTGCCATCTGAGTCCTGTTGTGTGTTCATTTACAGTTGGGGCAGGGGGAGTTCCTCTGCTTACAACAAAACCCATAAATTACTGGGAAAGTAGGAAGAATTCAGGAATAAAAATCTGGTAAAATCATTGATGCCCAAGACTATCATTGACAGCAACAAAGAAATATTCAGTAAGTGTACCTGTATATAGTTGTGTGTGTCTTTCAGCTCTTTGTCTCTGTGTACATATGCATTTCTGTTTCCCTGAGACTTATACTTGAACATGCAAGCTTTTAAATTTTATTTGGTTTTGAAGTATGGCCAGTATCCCCAGCCCACTCACAGTGTTGTGCTTTGCTGACACACAGGACTTGTGGGTGGGAAGGGATCAACATGTGTGGGAAGTGCTAAAGACCCAGGTGGCCATGCTGCCAGGTGGACCTGGACAAGTGTGCAGGCTCCAGGTTGTGCTTGACCTTGCAGGATGGAGTGAAGGGGTTAATTCTGGCTGCCGTGTAGGCTGGAAGTGCCAAGGCCAGAAAGGACAGAGGTGTTATAGAGGTACCATACATTGGTGGAAACACCGGATGATGGACCTAGGGAATAGCCGTGGGTTTGGAGGAAAACAGAAAAATTAAGATTTTGAAGGGTGAGTCAGAAGACTTGAGTGAGACCAAGTTTAAAACAATTCAAGAGTTCCATTTAAGATAAAATAAAGTCAGCTAGGGGTGGTGGCGCATACCTGTAGGGAGGTTGAGGCAGGAGGATCGTTGTGAGTTTGAGGCCAGCCTGGGCTACAAAGTGAGCTCGAGGCCACCATGAACTGCATAGCAAGACCCTGTCTCAAAAAAGACAAAAAAAAGAAGTCTTGGCTAGAGGGATAAATCAGGGAAGCACCAACAGAGAGGTGGTGTCCAAGCACAGTGGGCACTATCCCCAGAAGGACTGTGACCAGGCTCTGGCTGGCTACTTTTCCACAGCCAACCTCTGCCAGTGAAACCTGTTTATCTGTGTTAGGGTGCAGGTCTTGTCACGACATCCCACAGGAGTTGCGGTTATTGACTTGTTCTGTGTGCACAGAACCTTGGTAGTCTATCACCATTTCACTGTATTTATAAGTACTTGTTTCTAACTAAATTTCTGGAGAAATCCATCATTTTACCCGATGTGGTGGCGCACGCCTGTAATCCCAGTAGTCGGGAGGCTGAGGCAGTAGGATTGTTGTGAGTTCGAGACCAGCCTGGGCTACAGAGTGAACTCAAGGCCAACCTGAACTGTATAGTGAGACCCTGTCTCAAAAAGACAAAAAACAAAAAAGAAGAAGAAATTCATCATTTTAATAATACGTCTTTGTATTTTCAGCATTTTGTAACTTGCTGGCACAGAAGAGATCCCAATTAATGTTCTGGTGAATAAATATTTGAGATAATATAAGCCCCAAAATGCAAATGATTATAATTGAGGATTTGATCTCCTAAATTCCAGAAGTATTCTAGGACTTCTCATACTACTGAATTTTCTAGATATAAGTGATGCGTTAGTATTATAATCTTTGTTATTAGTAATATCTTTATTTCTACATTATACTTAAACACATTATTATCAATTCATTTGATATGTATAATCTCTTTATATGAATTAGGTACCACTGCCACTGGTTTTTTGGGGGATACTAAGTCTTGAATGCAAGGCCTTCATGCTGAGCTACAACATCCCATGTTCTTTATAGTTTTTATTTTGAGACAGGGCCTTGCTAAGTTGCCCAGGCTCGGCTTGAATTTGCATTGTATCCTGCTCCAGCCTCACAAAGTACAAGGTTTAAAGGGCTGGTTCTCTCCCTCCCCTTCCCCCTCCCCCTTCCCCTCCCCTTGTTTTCCCCTCCCCCTTCCCCATCTCCCTGTCTTCCTGTCTCTGTCTCTCTCCTTGTCTGTCTATCTGTCTGTCTCTCTCTTTTGGTAAATAGAGAACTAGAGTTTAGAGTGTACTTTATATATGGCCATAATCTGAACTTTCGACCCCTATTATTTTGTGTTACATCTCCCACACTATAACACCTTCTGTGTATCATAAGGTATTTTAGCTTTTTTTTTTTTTTTTTTTTTTTTTTTTTGGTACTGGGGATCGAACTCAGGACCTTGTGCTTGCCAAGCAGGTGTTTGTGCAGCTGAGCTATATCCCTGGCCCTGTCATAGACTTTTGAAAAGTAATATGTTATTTGTCATTTATTTTCCCTAGTCAAATTGGTGCTCCCTTATATTGCTATAGTGATATTTTATTTATTTTTATTTGTTTGGCTCTTCTTTGTTTTTGTTTTGTTTTTAAATAGGTCTCACTACGTAGTCAGACTGGCCTTGACATTATTATTTAACTCAGGCTGGGCTTGAGCTCATGGCAATCCTCCTGCTTCAGCCTTCCCAGTGCTGAGGGTACAGGCATGCACCTCCATGCCTGGCCTGTAGTAGTATTTTAAAGCTGGTGAAGAGACCTCAGATGTCAGTGCCCTGGTCCCACAGTCTTCTCGAGTATGGGTACTGGAGCCGGGGTCAGGCTGCCCAGATCACCCAGCTAGCTGAGCAGGGGTGGGCCCAGTGGATTCTCTCCCTTACCCTATCCTACTTTCCCTACTTTTCCATTTGGTGCCTTACAGTAAAAGAGGCCTTGTTTTCTGGCAGTTGAGAGGGTTAGCAGGAGCTTTGCTTCTGTGTTGCACAGTTATCCAGAATGGGGGGTTGAGGGTGAGGAGCTAGGTGGTGTGGACAGAAACTTCCAGCTCTTTTTTTTTTTTTTTTCTTTGAAGACTTTACTCTCTTGGTGTTTGCTTCTGTTCATAAATACTCATTCAGTAGTGAATTCCTGTACTAACTGTTCAGCATAAGAAACCTGAGACTTGGAATCACTTGACAGGACTCCTGCCCATCTTCAGCGTGTTTGGCACATGGCTTTCCTCCTAGTTTGTATCACCTGTGTAGCTGAGCTGGACACTTGTTTAACGTTCATGATGGGAGCCATGCATGTGTCTCCTATCTGTTTGGTTCTACCAGTCATTCTCTTGAGAGCAGCCCACCAGGAGTGGCCTGGGTCAGTGGTGGGAACTTATGGCACACGTGCCACTGCTGGCTGTTTGTATCATTGAAAGTCTAAAAGGTTTGCCATTGCTGGCCTAGGTGCTCACAGCTGATTCAAAGGAAGAAGGAATTACTGAGTCAGTTGATGTAGTCTCTTCTGCTGCCAGCCTGAGAGATTCAGCACCTCATGTGACAGTGTCCATCACTTAGGCCTCTAGACTAATGCCGGAACCCCATTCTGTTTCGTGCCAGGTAGCAGTTGGCCTCCCTTGGCCTTCAGTTTCTGGCAGCACGATCTGGATGCAAACCAATGACCTTGACAGTTTAGAAAGACTATAGAGAACATGGGAGGCCCCATTCTGTCACTGTTGCCTTACTTAGGTAACTAGAGGTCATGGATCCATTTTCAGACAGGCACAAATTAAGGACCTTAAAAAAAAAAAGTCAAGTTTTGAGCTGGGTGTGGTGTCACACATCTGTAATCCCAGAACTCTTTTGGGAGGCTGAGGCAGGAGGATCGCCGGGAGTTCAAGACCAGCCCAGATTACACAGCGAGACCCTGTGTCAAAAACTTTTTTTAAAAGTTTTGAAAGAGTTAGAAAAAAGAATTGTTAATTGTCTATTTTAGTGATTGGAAATAATCTCAGCTCTCCTTGAAGTCTCCCCACTTTGTTCCTTCCTTACAAGTTATCATTGTGTTTCACTGTGTGTCTCATCTTCCATGAATGCAAAGCTTGTAACATACCCATCTCTGTCCAGCCCACAGTACAGCAGTGCTATGTGTAAGTTTCTAATAAATGTTACCTAGGAATGGAAAACATTTAACTAAAGAAGGTATTTTAGCTTTAGTTATTGTGATGAATTAGAAAGTTTCTTGATTGGAACTTGACACCTTATGCATTTGAACACAGGGCAGAATCTGGACAGCATGCTCCACGGCACTGGGGTAAAGTCAGACTCTGACCCTAAGAAGACAGAGAATGGAGTAACCTTAGCACCGGAGGACACCTTGCCTTTTTTAAAGTGCTATTGCTCAGGACACTGCCCAGATGATGCTGTTAATAACACATGCATGTAAGTATTTGGTGCGGTGCTTCAGAGTTAGGAGGAGTGCACTTAGTGCTACTTTAAGAATTGGTAAAATTGTCTGAGTTTTTTCTTTATATATGGTATCTTTCCAAAGAACCAAAAGGCTTCTTTTTTTGCATATAGGAACATTATTACTGTGAAGTGATTCGTGGTTATTTTATCAGAGTTACACTGTAATATAGCCTTTTAAAAGAGATTAAAGAAAACTAGTATTTTTTTAACATTTTGAGTTTAATGCATTTTTCATTGCACTGTTAATGATGCTCATTGTAAAAAACTTTTTCTTAAGTAAATTGCCAAAAAGAAACCAAAAAATTCACCCACAACCCCCAGCTTCTTAATTGGCTGAAACAGTTTACAGATACATAAAAATGACATTGGGATAATTAACTTTGTTATTTTCTTTCCTATGAATTTCCAGTCCATATCTGATTTATATGACTATTTTAATCTTCCTACTTAATTTTATGTTGTTCAGCATGTTTATATGTGAGCATGTACATTTATTTCCTATTTGTTACTACTTTCTGATGTGAAATTACATTGTTTTTTTTTTTTTTTTTTTTTTTTTTTTTTTTTTTTTTTTTTTGGTTTTTCTCCGGTACCGGGAACTGAACTCACGACCTTGCACTTGCCAGGCAGGTGCTTTGCCGCTGAGCTAAATCCCCAGCCCCTTGAAATTACATTGTTGTTTTTTCCCCTCTTAGAACTAATGGACATTGCTTTGCCATCATAGAAGAAGATGACCAAGGAGAAACCACATTAGCTTCAGGGTGCATGAAATATGAAGGATCTGATTTTCAGTGCAAGGTGAGTTCTCATTTGGGGTCCATGTGAGCGGCATCGTTATCGCCTGTGTGTGCATACAGGAAGTGTCCTGGAGGATGTGCATCTCTTTGCAAGTAATGGGATTGTGCTTGTTGGAGTTCCAGGTCGTTGTACCTTGAGAAATGTGTTAAGTCATTCTAGGCTGTCCTGACTGTGGAGCAGTGATGTGGATAATTGAGGGTACTGAGAAAGACTTCAGGATGATGGGCAGCTGGGGCTGGGAGTGTGACGTCCTTGTGTCTATGAAGTTACTTTAAAAGCACTAGCCAGGGGATGCTGAGGGTCGGTGGTAGAGTTGGTAGTGTCCTGCCAGCTCCGGCCACAGATGTGTTTGTGTCAGAGTTCTGGACAGTCTGCCAGTGTGTCTGAAAACAGCTCCAGATAGAACTCTCTAGACACATTTTAAGCCTCAGCTATGCCAGAAAATTCTGTTATTCAAATTCCACAGGATTGCTAGAAACCTTCAGTGTTGTGTATTTCTACTTCTCGGTTAACTCTGGGAGTTGCCCACTCAGCAAGACTGCAAATCTCTCTTCCTTGCTGACTCCTTGGACTTTAGAGAACAGCTCTAATCCCTCCTCAAGATAACAGCCCTTCACTCTGAGAAAAAAGCGTTTCCAATCCTCTGTTTGGCCCCACACCCTCTAGTCCCAGCCCAGTGAAAATAATAGTTCAGGATGACCTCAGCTGCCCCGTATGGTCAGCTTTGGAGTAGTCACTCTGTGGTTGCTCCATGTAATAAGTAGAAATGAGTATGCTGTGATGCAGAAAAGAATCAGCGGATAAGTAACCCTTTTCCTTTTTTCTAAATCCATCAGACTCTCATGTTAGGTCCTCAGCAGTCACATCGTGTTCCTGAACATGTGCTTGTGTGAGCTCAAGTTCCCTGTCTTTTGCTCAGGCCACTGAGCCACAGCCCCTCCACTCTGTTGGTGGTGCTGGCTTCTGGATACCAATAAGGAGATGAAGATTTTGCTGTATAGCTGTCATGTACTTGTCCACATTAAATTTCATCATACAGAAATTAACGCTTTGTTCTAATTTGTCAGCATTTGAGGGATGCTGATTTAGTTGTGGCTTCCAGTTTTATGCTATTAGCATATAACCAACCGTAAGTCACTTTAAATAATTGAAGGAGAGCCCATAGGCTCCTAAACTATAAACTAGGTTTCTCTCACTGAAATCACCCCAGTATAAGTTTGTTGCTAAGTCTGTCAGTCTGTGTCCCAACTTTGTGTCTAATGCTTTCTCTTAAGAGCTATGACTTTGAGCAAGGAACTTATTTTCTCCTCTGCAGAGGAATCACTATAAGGGTCAAATGAAATAACTAAATGTGAAGAGTTTGGCACAGTTGGTATATAATGTGGGGAAAATCCGTGTTAGTTGTTGCCATAGTATTGATCAAGCAAGCATATCTATAGCACACACAGATGATGCCTAATAGCAGTAATCAAGCACATGCCTACTTTTGAGGGGATCGCTTGACAAATCCTGAGCGTCTTGGGTCCTGTGGCTTTACAGTGTTCTGCCTGAGGACAGAGCTGTTCAAGCCTTTTCTCTTTTTTTCTCCTCCTCTGTACATTGTCACCTTTGTCCCAGTTAATAGGGCAGAACTTGGGGATGTGGAAGCTGGAAATTCCAAACAATGCTGTGATTCCACATGAAGGTCTCCATGTAGGGCATATGAGGGTGCCAGCTGCATTTCCATGTCAGGTAGTTTCAGGTTTTCGCTTTCAGCCAGATTGCTAGATCATGGAAAATAATTTTTGATATTAGGTTCACCCTGGGATTTTTAGCATGTGCTCCGGAAGGACTAGAGTTGGGTGGGAAATTGCTGTCGTGATTATCTGTTTATGTGGATGAAATGTCAGAAGACTGGTCAAAAGAAAAATGGAAATAAAGTTAACCTCAAATCTTGTTATAGCAATGAATAATATTTATCCATGAATTTATGAACTAGTCTTTTGAAAGACCCATCCATTTCATTAAGAAATGTCTTCTAATAAAATTTTGGTAATGTTTTAGTAAAAATTTTAATACATCTTACTTTGATTAGTTTTATACAAATAGTAACTAGCGTTAAACTAGAAATTTTTGAAGATATAAAAACAGTCTTAGAAAATAAAAGAATCTAACATGCTTATTTTAATATGGAGAATTACATATTAAAATATATTT